GTCGCAGGTCCCCATCTTCTTCCCGTAGACATGATCACACTAGGCCACCTTCTCCTTGGTGGTTAGGGACGGTTCAATTCTAGGAAAGGACACACACCAGGATATGGGGTTTTCTGAGAACAAGGACACCATCCCTTCTGATCCCCCAGGCTTTCCTGGTCTATTTTAGCCTCCTATGTTTAAAACCCTTCTACATAAGGTGAAAAAGACCACTAAGACAGGGACAGGGGTCCCCTCAGTGTCCCATCCTAAGGACCCGAACCTGGCAATGTTCACAAACACCACCACAGAAAAGGAGGAAGTTCCTGCTCCACCATTGTTTCTTAAGGTGGTCAAAAACCAGTGGACCTGTCCTTTTATCTTGCCCAATCCTGGGAGCAATGATTGCTGCTTCTATAATATGGAGCAGGCTTTCTCCCAGGCTCTCCAATTGCCCACGGTGGATGCTCCAATTGCACTGCTGGCCAATTCTTCCATTGTGGTGTCAGGGGATGAGGCCGATAAGTTGAAGCCGGAGGACAAGCGTGCGGAATTTACCTTGTGTAAGAACTTTAACACTTCCGCCTGGGCAATAAAATCTGCCGCAGTGGCTTTCTATTCATTCACACAGCAGTTATGTGGCTTCACCAATTGCAGGACTGCATCCTGGTCCAGGACGCGTGTCTTTATCAAGACCTCACTAAAATCATCTCTGCCACACAGTTTTCCACGGATGATACCCTGGACTCTTAAATTCGGGTCCTGGGCCTTGTTTACCTTGGTGATTTCCAGGCATCTTCTTTGGCTCCGTAGTTGGCAGATGGACAACAAGTCCAAATGGAACCTGACAGCAGCCCTGTACTTGGGCACTAATCTCTTTGGTGAATCTCTAGACCCAATTCTCATTGAGAATAAAGATAAGAAGAATCTACATTCTAACACCAAAAAGCCAGACCCTCGCCCGGCTCCATACCATAGACCTTCTTTCAGGGCACCTGAATCAGACTACCATCAACAGAGGTATTTCCCATATAGGTCTGATAGGCAGAGTCAGCACCCCTATTACCAGGACAGAGGGAAATACCAGGGACCGTCTAGTCGGCCATTTTGCGGGGGAGGCGGTCACCCCTTCTACAAAGGGAAATGACTCCAACCCGAGTCTTCCCACAGGCTGCTGTCTGGAACAGTTTGTGGATCAGTGGGACCAGATAATCTTGGATACCTGGGTCAGGTCCACCATCAGGAACGGCCTGTGCCTGGAATTTCTCTCCCCTCCCCTGACGCTCTTCAGGACCTTTCCCCCATTCCGGTACCCGGGTCGACACCGTCTGATGGATTTGGCCATTCAACATCTATTGATCGTTCAGGCAGTAGAACCGGTCCCGATGATGGAACATGGGTTGGGCCATTACTCCAACCTGTTCATGGTCCTGAAGAGCTCGGGGGGCTGGAGGGCAATTCTGGACCTGAAGTACCTCAACTCTTACCTGGTATACAGGAGCTCCAAGATGTCTGCCCTCAGATCCATTCTCCTGGGGATCCAGCAGGAAGATTATTTGGTGTAGACTTAACGGAATCTAGCTACACATCCTGATACTGCCAGCCCATCACAGATATCTCCGATTCTCTCACAATGGGCGACACTTCCAGTACCGGCCCCTCCCCTTCCGTCTTGCCTTAGTTCCACGTTCACAAAGGTCTTGGCAGCATTGGCAGCTCACCTACGAGCCACTCTGGAGAGACTCCAATGTTATCTTGACAGTGTGCTAGTTCAGCCCAATCGAATGCGAAAGAAGTCCACAACTTATCTCTAACCATCCCAACCTTACAGTCTGTGGGGTTTCTTGTCAACTTCCCCAAAGGTCATCTCCTGCCCACGACAAAAATCCTCCACCTGGGGGCGATAATAGACTCAGTTGCGGGACTGGTTCAGCTCTCCTCAGAATGACTCATCAACCTCCATTCGCTGGCGCGCCAAATACACACAAGACAGTCAGCTTCCATCCTGACCTTGGTCCATTTGTTGGGCAAGATGGTGTTGTGTATAGGGATAGTGCCCTGGGCCCGTCTTCATTCCCGAACTTTACAATGGGTTCTCATTCCCTATCAATGACAACGCATGAGCATCTCCTTAAGGACTGTTCCTCTGTCACCAGGACTTCATCTATCCCTACGGTGGTGGCTGTCTCCAGCCCTACAGCGTGGAAGTGAGTTTATACAGTTAGGGGGCGCTGATGAACTCCAAGCTGATGCAGGGTCGTTGGACAATCTCAGACCTATGCGACAACATCAACTGGCTGGAACTGAAGGCAGCTCGCCTGGCCCTCCTACACTTCCGGGACTCTATTGTCGATTGTCATGTGCTCCTCCTGACAGACAACGTAGCCACGAAGGCCCACATAAACCATCAGGGGAGCACGCACTCCAAATGTCTCTGGCTGGAGGCTCTGAAGCTTGGCTCCTGGTTGGAGAAGCACCTGGCATCAATAACATCAGATCACATCTCGGGCACAGCCAACCATCAGGCAGATTGGCTGAGCCATGCAACAGTCAACCACGGGGAGTGACAGCTGCTACCCAACCTGTTCCAAAGAATTGGTCATTGCTTCAGCACACCGCTGGTGGACTTGTTCGTGAGCCCCGCAGACACACAACTGCTGCGGTTGTTCTCCTGCCTTCCAGCCCGGAATGCAGAAATGACAGGCGCCCTTAGGAGCAGATGGCCACCAGACCTACTCTATACCTTTCCCCCTCTCCCACAAATCCTGAGGACCCTAAGAAGGGTAGTGGTAGAGAGGCACACATTATCCTGCTAGCACCATATTGGCCCAGACAGCTTTGGTTCACGGACCTTCTCCAACAGTCCATCTCTCCCCCATGGAGGATTCCTCAGGAGGAGATCTCCCTGTGCCAGGGGGTCCTAATCCATCCGGGGCTCCAGTGGCTCCACTTGACTACCTGGCACTTGAGCGGTGCCTCCTGAGGGACCCAAACCTTCAGCCAAGATCATAACGACTATCAAGGCATCCCGATGGCCGTCGACCACTCGGATTTATAATTCCACATGATCGGCATTTGTCAATTGGTGCAGGACGCTTGACATCCCTCCAACTGAGGCTTCAGTAGCCCAGGTCCTCGACTTTCTGCAGAAGGGTTTGGACGAGGGCCTGGCCCATAGTACTCTGCATCGCCAAATAGCGGCCCTGTCTTCGGTTTTGGCTGGGGATGACCATTTCCCTTTATCTCAGTTTCCCCTGGTCAAGAGATTCCTAAAGGGCAGAGCTAACCTCCATCTGCCCCCCAGTTCATCAGTTCCCCACATGGGACCTACTCTTAGTACTCAGTGCTCTAACAGGGGATCTGTTCAAACCGCCGAGAACAGTACACTTGAGATTTCTATCCCTAAAGGTAGCGTTCCTTATCGCCGTCACATCGGTGAGGCAGATTTCTGAGCTGAGAGCTCTGTCATCTAAGGATGACCTCTGCTGATTCCATCAGGATAGGGTGGTCCTTCATCTGGACCCAGCCTTCCTCCCAAAGGTCAATTCCTTCTTCCATAGAGCGCAGGAGGTCATTCTTTCTAATTTTTTCCCAGCCCCCTTTCATGAGAGGGAACGCCTTTAGCATCGGCTAGACATCTGCCGCGCACTGTGCATTTATCTAAGGCGTGCAGCAGGTCTCTGTCAATTAGAGGCTCTTTTCATTTCCTTCCAACCCAGTTCCTTGGGGGCCAGGGTCTCCTCTGCCACAATTGGCAGGTGGTTAAGGCAGGCTATCTTCGCCGCCTATGCAGCCTTAGGTCATTCTCTTTCAGGGATTACGGTCCATTCCACGTGGAGCACCGCCACTGATAAAGTTATTTCCTTTTAAGTCTGTCTGCCTGTCATCTTTGAACGAGCGAAGAAGGGGGGACAGAACACCTACCTATCTATCATCTGCATTTATCCTCAATGAATACATACATTCACACAGAATAAAAAGAATCATTTTTGCATGGTATGTAAGCTACTGTCTAATTACTATTTCTTCTCATTAACTGCATATGAGAGAAGCAAAATTCAACTTCAGCACATTAGATTCAAGCTTTACTTGGATTGTGTGTTTTGGGAAGACATTGACAGAAACACATACCACACACTGCATACATGTAGATCAAATACAATCTTAATATTTGCCATACAATAACATTTTTTCTGTAACATAACTGATCATATTGAAGATGAGAGCTAAATGGGAGAAATGTGAGTATTATATTAGATGTTTATGATATTCTTTTGTCCTATATAATGAAGATTTTGTTGGATTAGCCATATTGTTACAGTGGTGGCATACATGACAGTGCCACAATAAATATTTAATAAAAATAGCTAAGAAAATCAATGGGACATTGCCTAACAATCAAAAGAAAAATTAATGGGAAGGAATGTGGCATCAAATGCAATTTTTCATTGTATGAATCTTTATATGGAAAATGCCATACTACTTTTGACCTATTAAGAATATCTTACATGCCAAATGTCATAAGCAATAAGAATAGTATTTAGACATATAACACTCTATAGTGCTTTACTGAGTGATTTACAGAGTCTGCATATTGACCCCAACAATTTGGGTCCTGAGTTTACCAACCTCGGAAGGATGGAAAGCTGAGTCAACCTTGAGCCGGTCAGGACTCAACTCCTGGCTGTGAGCAGTCAGTCTGCAACACTGCATTCTAACCACTGCACCACCACAGCTCCTATTAATTAACATTAAAACTCTTAATATTGCTTATTAATGTTATATGAGGATTATCATGGGGACATATACATGTACACCTACTGACATGTACACAGATATACATTATAGATTAAGATTATTATTTAAAAATTAAAAATTGAACAGCTGTGACTAACATATATTTTTAAACAAATGGGTAATTATCACATAATTTAATTAATTAAGAAAAACAATATATAAGAATCTCAAATTAAAAACAATATAGTTTTCTGCATTTGTCTTGCCAGTATCAGAGTCCTTACCTGTTGCTTCAGTGCTTCCAACGATTCAAATTCTAGTCTTGCCAATTTTATCTGAATATCTTGGGGTTTGTCAGCAATCACATAGGACATAAGAAACTTCACTGCTAGGGCTAAATGCTGAAAAAAGTAGATGAATAAAATAGCATTCAGGGATAAGGTCTTAATATCTTGGTGCTGAAATATTCTTTCTTTAGTTCAACAGCTAATAATCATAATTTGAAGAACTATGTTTCTGGGATACTCGTAGAAAGAAGAAAAAATTCTCTATGGCAGATTCCTTTTGATATTCAAACAGAAGCCTATATAATAATAATTATTATTTTTTTCTATTCAATTTGTCTGTTCAGTTGGAGACTGATTGGACAAGTCCTTGCAGTTTCCTTGGTAATGCTTTTACAGAAGTGGTTTTCCCTTTTCTCCTGAGAGAAAGTGACTAGCCCAATTTTACCCAGCTATCTTTGTGACTAAGGTGGAACTAGAACTCATGCACTCCTAGTTTTTAGTCTTAACCAGTACATCAAACTGGCTCTGAAATAATACAATTATTTATTAATAAATAATAAAAATGTTCAAGTAGTAGGCTGTGATGATAGCAAAGTTTTCACATAAGGGCAAATAATCCCAAATAACTATTGTACAATTATAGTTTTAAAAGCAGAAACTTTTACAGTATATGCATTCAAAATCAAATTCTAAAAATCTGGCGTTGTGGCTTGTGGGTTCAAGTTGCATGAAACACAATTCACATATGTTATGGATTTTGAGCTTTCATTTCCCTTACTATTATCAGAATATAAAGCTACAATAAGATAAATATGATGTAATGATACTATGGAAATATTATTAATAATTACAGTATAAAAATAAATTTAAATTAATTGTACAGCCACCCTCTCAATAAATGACACTAGATGGTAAATTATTAAATAAAAACAATTACAAACATTAATATTCATAGTAGCCAAGAAAACATCACAATCAATAGAATGGGGTCTTTTCATACTCTCAGCCCCTGGCCTGAGCAGAGAACCAGGGGAAAGTTCAGGTCCATCCTAATCTCTGCTACAGCACCTAAAAGAATGAATGTAAGGCTATAGAACACTTTGTAATTCTCAGAAGTCTCTCCACTACCATTATTTGTTTTTAATTCTAATGTTTCCTGATAACTGGATGAAATCCTATTCTAATTTATATTAGAATAAAGGAAAATACAAAACCACATACTCCCCTGCAATAAGGTCTATTAGGACTGAATTTAAACATTTTAAAAGTCAACAGTAACAAAATAACAGGATCTCTCTTCCAGAGGAAGCCCATGCTTTACTTAACAGCCATCCTGACTTCCAACTGTACTGAATAGACTTCACTATGGTCGTAACTCAAGGACTATCTGTATCTCTGGACCCATTTTCAGTTTTTGATTTTGCATTGAGCTCTTTAACAGCCTGGTCCTCAAATAAGGCATTTCCAGGATACATATATAATTGCTCAATTATCTGCTTGCATTAATGTATGATTGCTTGCTATTTTCCAGTATACTGTTTAAAATCAAGCCAGCATATGAATATTTAGTGTGAACCGGGACATTAAGCATGTAAACCGTATATGCAATCTAAATCTCTCATTACACAACAAATACATAAACATTTTCAAGTTCAAGCACAGAAGTAGAAATAATTTATTTAGATCATATTATAACTGAAGGAGAAATAACTTCTTTAGATCATATAACAAATGTTAGAAAATGTATGCATTTTATAATTGATGAAGAATATGTGCCTATGAAATGTATTTGAATATTAGTAGCTTGAGTTGGTAGTTAGGTTGTTGGTTTGAGCTCCAAGCTTGACAATTTCAGTACAATCGTTTCATCACCATTCGAGGAAACATCATCAGTGTGCTTTGAATTCGAGGTTCGAGGTTCATTTTATTTATATGCCGCCCTATTCCCAGCGGGACTCAGGGTGGCGCACAAAGCCAAGGAGGGGAAGGGAAACACAAAAGCTACAACAAAAAAAATACAGGGCATTTAAAACAACCAACAGCCACACGATTTGAGAGGGGAAGGGAACTTATCGACCCCAGGCCTGCCGACACAGCCAG